ATCATACATAATATCCCATCTACCTACCTTCATATTATTCATATTATATTCACCATTATAAGTGACTTAAGCATAAATATTAAACCCTTCAAACAATTCTACCCACTTTCCAATCTTTTTCTAATTTCCTTCTTAATCATATGAGCCACACCCACTTTAAATATTTAAATATACTTATTAATTTTAAAATATTTACATTTATTTATATTCTCCATTTCCATTATCATACATAATATCCCATCTACCTACCTTCATATTATTCATATTATATTCACCATTATAAGTGACTTAAGCATAAATATTAAACCCTTCAAACAATTCTACCCACTTTCCAATCTTTCTCTAATTTCCTTCTTAATCATATGAGCCACACCCACTTTAAATATTTAAATATACTTATTAATTTTAAAATATTTACATTTATTTATATTCTCTATTTCCATTATCTTACATAATATCCCATCTACCTACCTTCATACCAATCATATTATATTCACCATTAAAAGTGACTTTTTTAACACCCTAAAACCTTTAAGATGGCTCAATCCATTTACCTTACTTTTAACCATTTAAATTATAATAACCACCACCACTAAATAATATTTAAAGTAAATACATGTTTTCATTTTTATATATATAATTCCATTTTCCAATCATTTTGCCATTATAATATTCTCCAAATTCAAAAATTTTAGCTTTGCTATTCATAATCTAAAATATTAATATCCTACTTTGAATAGTTTAAGAATAGATCTTTCCATACTCCTTACTTCTACCCTTCTTTATAATACCCGCCAACCTTCTCTAAAATTTAGTTATTCCAAAAAGCAATCCATCTACCATGTTTCCTTCTATTTCTACTAAACTAACCTTGCCACTAAAGATTTAGAACTTGATCCATATTATTCAAAATTTCTGGTTTCCCAAGGACATCTAGGTCTTCTACTCTATATTTTAAGTTGTACATAAAATTTTACACTCTCATGACTGCTCCATTTTATGAATAGATAATTTTTTATTCTGAGGTGAATTTGACTTGAAATTTTATTTTCTCAAATCTATAAATTTCTTAGTTGTAATAGTTAACTTCTTTTTCAATTGTCTATTCCTCCCATTTTGTTGATTATTGACAATTCAAAAGGTTGTCTTTAGAAAAATGCATTTTAATAATGTAATTATTTCTAATATGTAACAAATATGCGAATTTAAATATTTACGATTATATTCATAATATAATTGATTGAAAATTGAAATAAAACTTAATTCTAATTGTTTTCTTAAAGATTCAACAAAATACAGAATAAGAAGTTGTAAAGAGTACTCTTTTTAAACATAATCTACAATTATCTTTATAAGATATATTTATATTAATTTTAGTACATTTTGAAACAAGTAACAATTTTATTAATTGGTGATATAAAAAAAAGATTAAAGGATCGACTTGTGTGAGTAAAAAATGCGATCAAGATATAATAGTTGTTAGAATTTGAAAGTAATTGGAATGATTTTTGAAAATGTTGAGAATAGAATATTGATAGCAAGCAATTGAT